GGCCTGCAGAAATCTTTTGGAGTTCCGTGCCTTAACTTCCCTTCCCTTCCCTTCCCTTCCCTTCCCTTCCCTTCCCTTCCCTTCCCTTCCCTTCCCTTCCCTTCCATTGATGAGATATTGCCATATACATTTTTAAAATGAAAGGAAATATTGTAACAGGCAGACTGTTAGCCACAAATATTTATCCACAATAAATCTGTAATTTATTTTTAGGTGCAAAAAGATTTCATTGTTTTACTGTTAACAAATGAATGATGCACACTTGGAATTCAGTTTTATATAGTTCTGTTTTAAATTTCGAGCCAATATTATCCACCATCTTTGGGTCTCCAGTTGATGTTGGACTACAATTCCTACATTTCTGCCAGGAACCATGGTGGCTGGAAATGATTGGGATGTTCCAGTAACATGAAGACCCATATTTGAAAGAGACTAATATGGAGAATGCAACCAGCATTGATAAAGTAGATAGTACCAGCTTAATTCTCTCTAGAGGTTTCAATCTAATGTGTAGGAGACCAGGTTAGGGAATGTTGGGCCAGCTGAACAACTTCAAGAACACTTTTGCAGACCTAATAAAGGAATTTGTGTGTTAAATGGACAGCTTTATACTGTAGTCAGTCTTTCTTCAGTATCAGAAAAAAAGGCTGTGCTCATGGTCACTCATGTCCTAGTCACTTCCTGTTTGGACTACTGCAGTGTGCTCTACATGGGGTTGCCTTTGAATATTACTCCAGGAAAGTTTATTACAGAAATAACTTTTCCCCCCCAAAATAAATGCAATTCAGAAATGTCAGAGACAACCATATGGGACATAAGTAAAATTTATATGAGAGGAATTCTTATGAGGTTTGCAACAGTTCAGAAGAAAGAATGCAATAGACAGAAATCACAACTGAAAGAAAAAAACAGAACTAGAATAAATCCACAAAACTAGTCCAAAGTGGCTGAAATTGAGAGAATTGAATAAAGTTAAACAACAATTTTTAGAAACAGAAGGATTTTTTTGGTGGTGAGTCAGTGGTCAGAGAATTTAACAACATAGATAAATTTTAAGTAAACCCATAACTATTCAAGGTACTAAAGAAGCAATAAAAAAATTAAAATTGACAAGGCACCAGGCCCAGATGGGCTGACAACCCAGTGCATTAATAAGGACAATGAGTGAAAGTAAAGAGCTTAAACAATACCAAGATTTGGGAAGAAGCATGTATAATCTTGATTTGCAAAGAAGGGAATGATCCAGAGAAACCTCAGTCTTATAGAACAATTTCTTTAGTGAATGTGGATTATAAGCTATTTACTACAATACTAGCTGAGGAAGTTTCTTTCTGAGCTAATCCATACAGATCAAACAGGTTACATTCCCAAGAGGAAATGAAAGACAACAGTAGATTTATAATAAATGCATTTAAATACATTAACAATAAGAAAAAGAAGGCAGCATTACTATTTTTAGAAGCAGAAAAACCTTTTGACAGGTGGCCTTTCTTATTAGTTTTAAACAAAATGAATCTGAGGAAGAATTGAAAGGAGACCATATATCAATGGCAAATAGCAAAGGTCGCAGCAAATGAACACTCTTCGCAGGTTTTCCAGTAAACAAAGGCATCAGGCAAGGGTTGGAAGAATGAAAATATTGTCAAGAAAGGAGGAGGAACCTTGAGAAAGATGACAGAATTTGAAACACTTATACAAAAGCCAAAATCACCTATTAGAACACACACACACACACACACACACAAATTGTCACTGAAATAAGATGTGAAGATGGAACAAATCAAAACGGTATCACAAAGTGGATACAAAACTTCAAAGAAATAATCGCAGTACAAGAATTGGAAAAGCAATGGAAAGAATCAATAACATTTATTCCAAGCTACATATTGGTATAAATGTTTTACAGTTGGTCAATAATTACCAAGACAGACAAATCATATAACAATGTTATAAGAGAGTACATTAGTTGCCTAATAGCAGGCAAGATTTATCAGAACTTTGCCAGGAACAGTTCAATTTGTTTATATATTTTTACTTAGGTTTATTTGCCTATTTTACTCTTTAACAGTTTTATCTCATTAACATTATTTTATTAATCTTATTCTGCTTTGTTACTCTAGCCTGGTCATTGATGAAATAAAGGACTTTGACTTTTTATTGTGAATGCGTTAAAACTTAGTGGTTTGATGCATTTTCTTAAATAATTGACAAGGACATTTTTTTTCTTTTTCAGGAGGGGGAACAAATAATTCAAGATTTCCTTTCTCAAGTGAAAGCAATGCCATTGACAGAAATGTCTGAAGACGATATCCGGACCAAACTAAAGGAGTTAAAAGACCAAGTTTTGAGAAAAAACAATAGTTTTATAAATGGAATCATTTCCCGCATCAAAAATGCCTCATGATGCATAAGTAAAACCACTTGAACTTGTGATTCTTTTCTGATCATAATCTCTGAACTGAGGCCACAACTATATTGTCCTGTCTCACTCCCTTGCAATATTAAAGAAAAGGCCTCAGGAATTGGCATGTTCCAATTTCTTCTCCTCATATTATATAAAGCAGCCAGAAGAGTAGAGTTGGGGAATATATAACAGTAGAGTTGGGGAATATATAACAGTGATAAAGGTATCTAGTCTACGGCTCTGAAGCAGGCAAAAGAGCTTCAGAACTGACACAGGCATCTTCTGTGTTCCTTTTCAGGCCAGATCCAAAGTGCCTTTACCTGCTTTGGATCTGAATGCTACACACTTCTTTACTAAATGCTATAGCCATAAAACTATGCTTCTGGTGCTCTTGAGATATTAGCTGTATCTTGCTGTGTTGCATTTTGCTCCAATCACTGAACAATTCTTGTTTCAGTTTTACTTTAGAAAAATATGTATTTGTTGCATCCTCTGAAACCCTTTCAGGCATATTATAGCCTTGGAATAAATCACACTCCTCCCTGATTAAGAGGCATGTTAATGTCACAGAAACAAGAAGAGCATTTTGCTATTTTTGGTTAGAGGCCCATAGCTTATGCCAATATATTTAGCCCCGAAGGCTAGAACGGAAAAGCATTTACTAAGGGCTGTGGTTAATTTGTGTGTTTGTAAGTGGGTGTCTCTGTATGACCTCCACGGTGTTCTAAACTTGAAATGGTTATCCTTAATGTAATGTAAAGTTTCACTGTAGTATTTTATTCCTGTTTTATTCAAAACATTTCAAACAACTTGAAGTAAGAAAATAAAATAAGTTTGCCTTCACTGTTGCAGGAGATCCTGAAACTGTCTCTCAATGGCATATTATACCCATATTTCTTCAATGCATCTTTGTGGAATTTGATCCTACATGTCTGTTTTATTGTATTATGTGTAGTGCTTTTTTTTAACAAATCACAAAAATATATAAGAAAATTTGCTTCTAATAATTTATAGCTAATAATTTTGCCACTACCAATAAAAGGCAGAGAATTAAGAAAATATTTTAGTCTAAATAAACAGAAGAAATATTCTTGTTCTAATGAAAACTCATTATCTTTTTTACTAATTTATTATTTTCTTTTTAATAATGTACTAATTAGTAATGTCTAATTTATTAACCATTTATTAACCTGTTTAAATTATGATTGTCAAAACAGGTGTATTTAGTTTTATAGTCTGTTGTTTGAGAATAATGCTCGCTCTTAGATAAAGCAAACACTGGGATCCTCCAGGGGCTATATAGTACTGTTCAATTTTCTAATAAACCCTTTAAAGCCAGGTAAACTAATTCACTCATTAAAACTCAAGTACTTTTCTTTAAAAAAAATATATTTCCCTCCTTTTTCTGAAATACATGTGAGCTGAAAAAGAAGCTGTGATAGGGATGCAGCAACAGTGAAAGCTTTGGAATATAAATTGTACTACTGTTGAGAGAGTTTAAGTGCCATTTAACTGTCAAACCTTTTGTGCGAATGAACTTTTATTTTCTCAGCTTATTTCTACCATGGCTGGGTGGTTGTAGTGCAGGCAATATGTGTGGTAGCTTTTCAGTTAAGGGGAGAACAGCGTTGGAAGGAAGGAATGTCCTTTTTCTGGAAAACATGGATCATATTGCCTTTATTTGGAGGTACCCTTTAAAATGTTTTCTGTTTCCATTCAGCACATAGCACTTTGGGATATGTCGTAGAGCAACGTATAACATGCAGGCATGTGCATTGTCTACAGCACTTCCTGGCCTCTCTGTTTTTCATTAATAGAATTGGCAAAACAGTAGCTGGTTTCACATATAGCACTGAACTATAATGCGGTTTGATTGTTAATGGCTTAGTATTATTGTGTAAATGATGCCGTTTTGGTTTGTCCAACAGTTATAATTAGCACATGGTTTATGATCACCCCACTAGCTAAGAAGCTGGTACATATAAGGGTATACATATTAATGTACATATTGGTATCCATAGTGGTCTGTCTTGTATATTTTGTGACAGCTCTTATAAAGCTCTGGCAGGGGCCTTTACTTCTATTTTCTTCATATTTTTGATCTGAAGATGCCACCAAACAAACCTAGCAGTTTTTGAATGCAAAGATTGTAGCCTTACTGTTGCGGTCATGTTCTCTGAAGGCCATCTGCCGGGAAACTAGTTGGCTTCCTTGTGCAGTTGGTTGGCCACGGTGAGACTGCTGGACTAGCTGGGCCAGGGGTCTGATCCAGCAGGGCACATATCCTCTTTCTATTTCATATCTAAGTCTTTGCTTTAGTTACATGTGGAGAGACTCAAACTGTCATGGTCATGACTTCGACAAGTTGTAGTTAGACTGTTGCATGACTTGCTAAGTCAAGGGTCCCTAATCTTTTTGGAAACTTTCTGGAGTACATTTTCAATGTTGTGAAGTTGTAATGGGCACTCTTAGAAATTGCTGTGTGAGAGGACATGGTGAAAGAGGACAAAATAGAAAGAAAACTAGTCAGCTTGCTCCCAACTACCTCCTCTATTCTTCCAAAATGCTTTCTACCATTCCAGCGTATATCTGTCCTTTCTGCAGATCAGGTAGGCAAACTTCCAATCAGAGAAATGGGCTGAAGTTCCCTATTATTTATATTTCTAAAGATCCCTCCAAGAAATATGCAGGGTCCATAAGCAATCTTGTAAATAAATATTATGTTTGCATTAGTGATTGGCTTTGCAGCATGCTAGCTTTCCAGTTTTTCAATTAAAAGAATTCAAATAAAATAACATCTGATGACACCTGTCAGACACTAAGGGGCCACATTGGGACCCAGCTTGGTTAAGAATATACAAATGCTGCCATCTCCCCTCCCCTCCCCATTGTGCACTGCATTCTAATTAAGATGTAATGCTTAATATGCTCTCCAAACTCAAAATGATTTAATTGACTGAATACTTTTCTAATCTGAATATACTTTAGTCAGTTAGTTGGTCTGACATTCTTATATTGGCTGGGATGTTTTGAGTTGTAATATTTTTGTTATTGTTTTAGAGATTCTTAATCCATCATAAAAAAAATTACTGGGTACCTCAATAAGAGTTTCTCATCCAAGCAAATGCTGCAGTGGAGCAGCACCAGCAGATGTCATGTGAGCAGACGTGTGTGCATGTTACATTTTCATGTGTGTAATTACAGAAGTGCCTATCTTGGAGAGGTATAGTAAATGATTGGTATAAATTAGATTTAACTATATTTCCTTCTCTTTTTCTTTCCTCATATCTGAATTCCTTTGGCCTATTATTTTTTACATGTTTTCTGTGCTTTGTATAACACTGCTTGCCCAAAAGGGTATAGCATGATAGGTAATTGTATATGCATGTTTGTAATAGTTTCATAGCTATAAGGAAGACCTGTTCTTCCCAGATCACCAGTTCAGGGGGATAGAAGGGGCTCACAGGGAAAACTGCACAAAGATTATTGGCCATTGCTCATACAGGAGGTTCTTGGGTTAGGACCACTCATTCAGTGACTGTTCAAACTTGCAGTGGCACTGAATGAGGGGGACTTATGACCAGTCCTTGGTGTTCCGGCCTTTGCAGTATCCCCATGGTTATGTGATGATGATCTGGGCACTGGGCTCTTGGTTTGGGGTTATGACATTGCAGTGAGTGGCAGTCACATGATTGTGATTTCCGACGTTCCCTGTTGGTTTCCCACAAGCAAAGTCAATGTGGAAGCCAGCAGGAAGTCAAGTTGTGGTCATGTGAGGTCCTCGCTTAACAACCTGCTCGGTCCTTGCTTAACAGTGGCAACTGAGACTGCCAGGGCAGTTGTCGCTAAGCAATGTGGTCACATGACATCATACTTTATGACCATGTCGCTTAGGGACAGCAATTCTGGTCCCAATTGCTGTCGTAACCTGAGGACTACCTGTACTTTCTGCCTGATGGTATTTTGCAAGCCCTTATAGAGTATGATCTGGCAGGCAACAAACCTTAAGTTTATGTTCAGATTTTGAATCTAGAATGAGAATATGCTATAAATAAACCAACCAAGTTATAGATTCAAAAGATGGAGTGCAACACTGAGGAAAAATATCACACTTTATTGTAAGCAATGATCATTGGATTCCAGTTCATAGGAGAAAGAGGAACAAGAACAAAAGAAAGGGAAGAAATTTTATAGGAGTTGTGACTTGGGGAGTGGGGAATTCTAAGGCTCTGATTCACTGTGGGTTTCTGTGGCCACAGAGGGTGGATCAAATTATTTTTACTTTATGAGAAGAGGGAGGATCACACCTTTTCAAAAGAGAGAGCAATGTTTGGAAATGTCCTTTGTTTCCCATGCTAATGAGTGATGGAGATTAGGTGCATGCCATAATCTAGAAATGGAAAGTCTTTGACTTCCCACCCAGCTACATGGTTGCAGTTTCCTTATTGGATCTGCTGCTGGGCAGTTGCAAAGGCTAAGTCATTGTTTTTTGTTGGCTTTGTCCTGGTGAGCAGTAACTTCTTTTCTTCTGGCCTGACAGGATTAAGGGGGCTTAATTTCACAAACTAACAAAATAACACTTAGGATCATCCAACACAGGTTAGAGCCCTACATGGAAGAAGAGATGCCTCATGTTCAAGCTGTTTTTAGAAAAGCCTGAGGAACATGAGACATTATTGCTGATGCACGCTGGATAATTGAGAAAGCCAAAGAATGCCAAAAAGAAGTCACTGTGCTTCATTAATTATAGAAGGGTTTTTGATTGTATTGATTATGTCAAGCTGTGGAATGTGCTCAGAAAAATAAGAATAACAGAACATCTTACTGTCCTCATGCAAAACCTATATACAGGTCAGGAATCCACAGTATGGACAGAACATGGTGAAATAGACTGGCTCCAGGTTGGCAAAGGAGTGCAACAAGGCTGTATAGTCTTCCCTTATTTATTCAACCTATATGCTGAACATATATTAAGGGAAGCTGGATTGGAAGAGGATGAGCATAGTTTTAAAACTGCAGGAAGAAATATCAATGCTCTGCACTATGCTGATTACACGACCTGATAGTTGAAAATGCAAAGCATCTGCAAGCTCTAGTGATAAAAGTCAATAAGCATAGTGAAAAAGTGGGACTAAAATTAAATATAAAGAAGACCAAGCCAATGACGAAAGGTAAACAACCAGCCTTAGAATTGACAATGAAGAAATTTATTTATTTATTTTATTTATTTATTCGGCTTGTGTGCCGCCCATCTCCCCCACGGGTGACTCTGGGCGGCTCACAATAAAAACGAAGAAATACAATTCTCTCCAAGATGGCTAAAAACTATAAATAATTTAGAAACAT